TTGAGAGATCCATTGAGGGCTGCAATGCAAACAAGTCGGATTAGGCTCAGGAAATCACTGGTCAGAGGCTGGGGAGGTATTAGGGAGAAGGGAGCAACACAAATTTGCTCTGTTATTATTCACCTTTAGGTATCTTCTCACAGTCAATCTTGAAGTCAGAGTATAAAGTCAGATGGATGCAGATAATTGCTGAGTTTTTGCTTGCTTATGGCACATTACCTCTGCAAGTGCAGACAATACAATTTCAGGTTCCTCAGGTAACTGCTTAAAACTACAGTTAACCAGCATGAGATACACTGTGAAGAATAGATGGGTCAGTCTTTCCACATAGGTATTTTACGAGTATTTGCCGTATTTCTATGCAGCTTTACCAGCTGTGTTAATTTTGTGAATGAAAAAGAGCCAGACTCAACAAACTGATCACTTTACAAGGATTTTCAAAGTCTCACAAAGGTACTTCAAGCGACTAATGTTTTTTATGTGAGCATTCTGAATAGAAGTTCATTTTCCCAGTGGAATCTCTTCATACAGTTTTATGTACTAATGCACAAGAATATATTTTGTAGCAATTATTTTGAACAGCCATAAAGTGATCATTGTGAGATCACTATATTGTCTGGCACCTGGAATTGGTTTGTTTAAAAAAAATAATTTTTACTTACATGATATGTTTGTAAAGATTAACCAGAGTGTCAAAAAGTATTTAACAGAAAAACCTTCATCACACCTTCAAAGCTGTCCAAGATTTCATGTCATACCTTTTACTTTCATGAGACGTGTGTCAGCTCTGGCATTAATAACCACAGGATCCATCATATCTAACTTTACTCATGCAAATGTAGGCCTTTAATCTAGCTACCTGCCTGTGCTTCCTTCAGAATCCATGCAAAAATACAGATAAATTCAGGGAGGGATTCAATCCATTGTAAAATAATAGCCTGAAGTTAAATGAATCACACTCTGCAGGTGCTGATTTCTCCACTGAGTAGAGAACAAACACACAGCTGTGATTAGATTCTCAAATTTCAAGTAGCTAAATGTTTTCCTGTTTCACCTACTCAAGTTTACTCAAGAGGTTTCCATTGCCAACACGTATACTGGGCTTTTATATATTTTTTTTTATATAATTACTCAATTGATTCAAAAGCTCATGTTTGGTAACTTTGTTAAAAATCCTTTAGTCTTAATGCTATTTAGTGCTTATGCAGTTGCTTCAAGTACACTTCTATAGCTCATCAAGTAAACTATACAACAGATTATTAAACAATGTACTACTGTAAAATAGAAGTTAGGCTTCCTAATTCCTTACCGGTTGAAGCCTGGTGCACAGCCTTTGACTGCACTGAGGTACCCTCCAGTATAACATACTACTGATCCCTGAGAGATAGTAAAAGATGAAGAAACAACCAGCAGTGAGATATTTCTCTTTGCTTTCTTAGACTTTTCTATAGCTGTAACTAATTTCTAAAAGCTTTCCCCTTTTAAAAAATGGTGATTCAAGTGATGAGGAGGGATTTTCTTCCCTTTAGATTGAAACTTTAATGTATTTTTCCATCAGCCTCTGAAAGTTTGACTTGAGGCTCTATACAAAGTTTTGGCCACAGTCTTAAGGCCTGACTATAAAGTAAATTTTATACCATCATGACTAATTATTTTCATTTAAGATATCAAAAAAGCGAAACAAGCCAAGTGATATTTTTGCACCCCTGGGACTTTCTTTTAATATTTCCTTTAGATTTCATTACTACTGCAGTGAGACCATTTGAAGACACCTCTAGACACTTTCTTCCTATACAGTAACTACAAAATCTGATTAGAGTGAAATAGGAGGCCTTTGTGTAAGCAAGGCAGACTGGGGTGCTTCTTCCCCTCCCTCTACATTTTGTTTTAACTAAAATTTCATTATCATAAGAGGTAAATGTTTTCTTTTACATTTAGTTCTGCAAATAGTATTTGGAAGAAAAGGAATTTGTAGAGAAGAAATAGGATAGCCAAACATTTTAAAGGAAAACTGCCTCAAATTACAGATACCACAAAGAACTGGCTGGGTACAGTTACCTTTGCTAGTTTTTTTAATATAAATGGATTACTGATAAACCAGTTCTTTCCTAAAATCAGTGTAACAAAGAGAAGTTTTTAAAGAAATATCTAATTGATTCAGGCTTATATATGTTATTTACAAACAGGCTTAAGCATACTGCATGAGAAGTTGCTTGAATTTTTGTCAAGACAGCTGGTACGAGATATTTCCAACCTTTAAAAATATTTTATATCATCTTAAAATGTTATTGGGGAGGGGGAGATAAAAATGTTTGCACTGCTACTGTAATAGCACTCTGTTTAGCCATTTAATCATTGCAACCTACTCAAAATGAAATTTATTTTACAGCAGGAAACATTATCTATATTCAGGGAATTCCATAGTATCCTACATAATTGTCATGATATATTTTTCAGAACTTGTGACAATTTTCAGTTTGTTCTGCTGTCCACAAGCATTTCCGCATGTTGCTGATTTTGACTTAACATTATTTAGATATAAAAATCTTAGTTGAATTAAGGGGCATTTTTGTGACATTTGCTGTAAAACAAATATTAGCAAGCAGAACGAAATGCATAGGAAAAAAATTTGCTTACATTTACTTTTTTTCTTTATTTGCAGGCTGCCTTTCTCTACCAAACCAGATCAGTGTCTGAAAGTGTATTTGCCTTAGGAAAAAAATCCACTGCTGACAATGGCAGTCAACAATAGAAGTCACCAGTTCAGGTCTAACACCACCTTAAAGTATAGTCAGAACTGCTCTGGAAACTTATAGGAATTCTGAAGTCAACTCACTAACTATAAAAGGAAGCATTTACTCTACTGAACTGAAGTCCTCACTCATGAAAGAGAAGCACAGAATCTGTTACACCTAAGGCTTGAGAAGAATGTTTTGCTAAAAAGCCAATGCTAAGTGCTTTAACATGTATATGGCTTCCTTGCAAAGTGATATACCAATAGCTGGCATAGACACCAAGGGTACAGCCAGCAATCCAAGCCTAAACTCCACTCAGGCACAAGAACAGTTCTCAAAGCTGGCATCCTACTAACCTTTCTGCAACATGGCTGGATATCAAATCTTGTCTCCATCTCTGAGTGAAACTATTTCAGTTACTTAACATTACCCCACCCATTGAATGGCATTTACTATTCCTATACAGAAGCAACACTGGATTTTGTTTGGTCGGTTTGCTTCATTTTCTTCTTGCCTTGAGTCCTGCAAACTCCCATACCACTTGGATTATAACGTACACACACAGCTGGCAGTCAATACGGTTTCTAGCCACTATTCAGAGCATGACAGTGGTAGTTTCTAAGTGACATACTGTTATCAAGAAACTCACTGTGCAGCTAGCCAATGTAAAATTCAAATTCTACCCTTTAAAAAAAAAAAAGGAAAAAAAGAAAAAAGAACAATAGGCAAATTAAAATTTTCTTCAGAAGTGTGGGATAATCTGATGAAGTGAAGGATAATCTGAATATAAGACAATACTGTGTTAAAAATAAAGCGTTCATGAAAATGCTCCTCAGGAAGGGGAAGGCTTTGCCTTGACTTCAGTCAGTGTGAAAAACTAAAGTGTCTGGGCTAAGAATATATGTCAATTCACTGTTCACTCCTTGATCCTCAAACTGGATCTAGATTTGGCCTTGAAACAAGTTTAAGACTTGAGGAATTAAGAAAATATGAAGCCACAGCACATACTCCACTCATGAATTCCTGATTAAAGGGCATAGCTGAAAGCACAGACATGCAACTTCACATCTGACTGGAAATACACAGCCAAGCAAGCATCTGGCTCTTCAAAAAGCTGGTCTCAGAAGTGGGCATATGAAAGGCAACAATCTTATCTACATTATTGACTTCCACCTCACTTTATGGACAAGAAGGGGAAAAGTATCTGAAAATTTTGCCAAGTGGGGAGAGTCAGAAAGAGAAATATTATAAGATATACTACAGAACAAACAAACTCCCACATCACAAAGGAACAACTGTCAAAAGCTGCATTGTCAGTTTATGCCACTGAATTTTCTCACTAGGATTTTGCTGACCTAAGAAGCAGGATTCACCCATTGTTCAGCTCCTGGCCGCCTTCTGACCTGGGCAAGATATCCAAGCAGTACTGCAGATTACATCATTTTGCAACTCATATATCACAAAAGTGCTTTGAGAATCCTTATGATGAATGTTGCATCGAAGACACCAATTGACTATACGTTACTTTTACATACTATAACTTCTGGAACAAATCACACAAAAAAAATTGCAGGATAACTGTCATTGACTATATGACTACTATGTCATAGAAAATAATATTCTCTATTAGAAAAATGAGAATATTCAGCAGCAGCCAGGTTACGATCCTCAAGTCTCAAGTTGCCCTTTGTTATTCTGTGCTATTTCCAGAATCCACATACCATATAATTTCTGAAAGCCACGAAAATAAAAAAAACGGAGGTGCACAACCACGAGGACTTTGCACTATAGCTTATAACTAGCAATGGACACTCAATTTATACAAGTATTCCCATTTGACTGAATAGTACAGCAGTGTCTTTCTTGGTGGTTGATCCTCATAGGAAGCTGACAGTTGCAGAATCTGAAGTATGTTTCCAAAATCTACCAAAGTGCCATCACTATAAGCTAGCTAATCACAGCTGACATTTGAAACAAAACTAATCTGAGGCACAAAGAATATAATGCTTTTTAAACATAAAACAACAATACAGCAATTAATGAAATATTGCTGAAATTCTGAACTGGACACTAATGTTCACACTGAGATGACTGAAAATGCTATCCACATATGGTGCAAATCTTTTAGCATTTTAGTCAGACTATATAATAAGGAAAGGAATAAAGTCCCATCAGCTCATCATTTCATTATTTCATTGTCACAATGATTCATGCAGTTGTTTTTTTTTTAAAGTAACTAAACTAAGTTAGTTTATACTAACTTACCATATTCCAAGGATTACAGCAAGCTCTTCTGCACACAAATCAGGTATCTGGTACTGATCAGCATCTGCTAATTTTATCTCATTAAGCACTGTGTCATCATTTAAATCACAATTCTGTTGGAAGAGAAAAAATATTTTAAAATAGATAAAAACAGTTACAGAGAAATTTATGCCTTCAAAATATGAAAAAGATAGATTTGTTTGAAAAAGGATAATACTACCATTACAGAAAGAGAGAGGGGAAAGTAATCTACCAACCAGAATTATGATAGAATAACTAAATAATGAAGCCACTACAAGGAAGTATCATCCAACACACTTTTGCTACAAATATACTGATTCTCATGCAGAAAGAACAGCATTCAGAGCAACTCTAAGGTTACCTAATATTGATTTTCTATTTAAACAAGGGCTGAAGGCAGTTTTCCTTCTCGAACTGTTGCTTATAGAATTATCAACAATTTCATCCTCTATTACATGTATACACAGACAAACTGAAACAGATTATTGTTATGGTCATTAATTCAGGCTCTCAGGCTAGCAACCATGGACCTCTGGGAATCTAAGAATTTCTTTTTAAGTATCAGCAAAGCCCAAGTACATAAAGCATACCTTCTGCCAGTACAGGTATACACCTTACACAGAAGATTTTTTTCTTTTTAAAAGGAGTTTGATATTAAAAAAACACAGCCTGAAAAATCTTCACCAAGCCAGCACCTCCAGATACTTTATACTGGCAAAGGCAAGAAGGGGTATTCTGAAAACGTTTGCTCCTGCACAAGTAGTTATGAATTTCCATAAAACTTCCTCTGGAACACACTTTTTATTTAAAGAGTATTTAATTTAACTTTTACAAAAAAGTATGCTACCTGAAGTTCATTGTCTGTCACCTAACTTTAAAGGAGAAAGTAATAAAATCTATGGCTGAAAAGTGTAAATTACTATGTTCATAGGATTTGTATTTGCTTGGAAACAACGAAAGATTCCTTTGGCTGCAAGCAAAGACGGGGTAGCTGTAATACTGTTTCTCTTGAAAAACAAAAAATACAAAAAAAAAAAACCAAAACCACCAAACAAAACAATTGGTCCTGAAATCAATTATCATACTACTGTTTTTTAGTTACCAGTAGTAGTTTTTAGAATCTATTAAAAACAGACAATGGATTTATACTAACAGTCTTCCAAATTTCCTATTAATTTCCCTTCAGTGTCCTAATAGTAGCTGCTTCTCATTCATATCTTCCATTGGCAAGCTCAAAATGAATGTCCACGGAAGAACAAAGAGCAAACAGGAATGCTTTGAAGTGGGTTATCTGCATTCATCACCAGTATTTTATCACTATATAAAGGAAACTAAACTGTGATTTGACAGAGAATGTGAAGAAAATAAGCTTATTTTATTTAAGAGGTAAAGAAGATATTAGCAGTCTTGCATATTGATTACCATAATTTTCTTCTCTTACTACATTAGCATATATAAGGATTATCTACCACTTCCAGACAAAAACTGTTTTAGAACTAGTATAATGATACCACTTCATTAGGTGCAACGTAAGTTACAATTTAATTTACATGGCAATCAGTTAAAAATTTCCACCTTCACATCTACATAATGTTTAAAATCTAACCAGTACAAACAGCACTAATTGCTTTAGCTTCATCAGAATATCAATTCCCTGAATTTTAGTGCAATTGTATGCCAGAGTTTTAAGCATGATTTCCATTCCTAGATTTAAAAAAGTTCCTAATTCCTCCAAAACATAAAAACAGCTCTGAATTTTTTAAAACTAATCAAACTATTTTAACATGCCACTTCTTATTAAGAGTCCTTATGCATCACCTCAAGCCTGAGGCTTTCCTTTCGGAGAAACTGACCTGGGAGCAAAGTTTTGGATTCACAATCTCAAATACTTATTTTCAAATGCAAATAGTTTTCCTTCCAGTGCCATCTGAAATAACATAATTGCTGAGCACCAGAGGGAAGCACAAAGCCTTTGACCTGAAATCAGTCCAGCTACCAGTCCAACAATTGGACACATTATTATTTTGATTCTATTTTAATGGAATTAAATTACTTGCCACTTAATAGCAAAATAACTTTTTTGATCTTCCTACAAAAAAGAGTAGGGCAAGAACTTTAGGACCACAGAAGTAAGCACTGCAAAACAGGAGTTGAAAATTAGGTGTGACCAGTCTCAAGTTGGCCTTTTTCCAAACTGTCAGAGTTATAATTCTCTTACAAATTTTTCCACTCATCCAGGACAAATCCTATCTTGAGACAAGTAGAGTATTTTCCTTTATCTGCAAATGGCACATGTAAAATAAGAACACTGGAGAGATTTGGAAGAAAATTTCCCTATTACAATTTTGCAGCATGATCACAGGTATTTTAGCTTTCCATATGTATACGTTAATTCTCTGGAGGTTCTCAGCACCTGAGAAGACTTGGTTTCTATGCATTTGCCATGAACAGTCTTTTAAAAGAATATAACAAGCATCCTCCCTAAAGTTAAGAGGGGATGCCAGGATGATCTTGGTCGGTTTTGGCAGAAGGCAAATAGCATTACCTCCAATTTTAGCTAAAAGAACTTCAAGATATAGTCAAGGTCGACAAATTTGAGATCAGACTCAGCAAAAGAAATGCTAGGATTCACTGTTTAAGTTAATTACACTACACTGACAAATTATATTAATAAGTTGTGCTTTGATACTTTAATTGGTAATTCAGTGCACACATGAATTGAAGAATCTACTTAGGCAAAACTGGTCTAATACCTGTGACAAAACCTTCACAAGACAATGAAGTGCCTGAACTTGAAATACCTCAGGTTTTCCTCAAATCAGCACACAGTTCCAACACAAGATGCAGAAATAAAAGGCTGTAATTTTTCTTCCCCCAGAAATAGGCTGTGGGAACAAAAAGCCCAACTTTTTTTTAATGGGGAGCCTGACTAACCTATGACAGAATTATATGCCACAGCACTCAGACTTGCACAAAACTCAACTCCCTCCCTGCAGCCAAAACCTCTCAACTCGTTTCCAGCACCATGTTTTTGCTTTTCCAAAAGAGTGGATATCCTTACTTTCTCTAGCATTATTTTCAAGCTACATTCAGTAAAATTTTAGTAGATAACATAGCATAACTAATTTTTAAAGGTTCCAAATACCCCAGTTTTCTTTCTCAAACTCTCTGTTAAACTTGCTTCAGAAGCTCTGTGTTCACTAAAAGGACACAGTACTCGATTAGCAAAACATTTCATTCTTGGTTATATCTACAGCCTAAAACAGTGTTGTCACTTTTATTGAAATGATGTAATTATTTTATTCCAAATTAAGTCCCTATTAGAAGTAGACTACAAAGGCAAATTCTTCAGAGAAAGTGGCAACTGGAAAAAAACAGTCATAAAATACCCCAGTTAGGGATTCTGAGAACAATGTATCCTCTCATTGAGTTCTAGGTAAGTTGTACCTGAAGTCAACAATTGAGTTAGTCATTCACCAAGCAGCCTCCCCTGAGCTCTCACTATCCTATAATGGGTTGCTATATATAGTTCTGTCATAAGTGTAAGTTGTTACATATGTGTAATCAACCTCTTTCCATTAAATCAAATGCCACACTAAGGACATACTAATGGACAAACAAAAAAAAATCTAGGATAGTCTCCTAACATATTTATGTACTCAGTTTAGAAGTATTGTCAACTTTTTTTGCTTAAGAGCCCCACTTGACCTGGAAGTCTAGCAAGGTACTTTTTTTAATAAAGTCTTTCCAATTAGAAGTATAAACTTTGGACCATAATGCCTCAATTTATCTCTGACTTCTTTAAAGAGGTGAAATAACTTTAAACGTCCTTATGAAGGAAAACTGCCATCCTAAAACAATTCAGTGGTTCTTGAGCAATTTATAATTGAAGTCATCATACATACCCTTAAGATCAGGAGGACTGAGTCACATAATTCATGCCATAGGAATAACTAGACCAATTTCCCATCTCTGCACTGTAACTGAATACATCTGTCAGCCCATAGGGATCTATGCATTTCTGTGATGCCTTGCAGGTTATTTTGAAAATCTGCCTCTCACCTGTTTTCCTAGTTCCATCATTCTTAGTCACTAAAAATTAATTCATAAACTGTAGAGGACCATATTTTCAAACATGCTTTTAGTTGAGTAGCCACATCTGTCTTGCAGATGTTCATATGTTGTTTTACCCCATGTCCTTTAATATTAGGCAAATTACTGCCCAACAGCTTTTCCACAAACTTTCAGAAATCCCAAGTAAGTTTCTCCTAAACGTGACACTCTTTTTTCCCTTGCAGACACCCAAGAAAAGCTTCAGAACATTTTAAGAAATTAAAGCAATTCTTCTCAGATACATACTATTGTTAAGCTTTCTAGAGGTGTTGGAGCAGGACTTAGTTCACTGTGAGGAAGGATGAATTCATCTGTTCTTTGGACATCCAAAATAAGCTGTGCAACATATTTCTCTTGAAACCGTGTTCTCTTCCCCAGAGCACCTACAGAAAGTATGTTTACATTAATGAACACTAAAAATGTTATCAGTAATCTGATAATATATGAGAAAGTTGCTCACAAAAAAAACCCAAACAAAAGATAGAAATACACCGAGAATTAACCTATGAAATTTAGCAGTGGTTTAACTCTGCTTGATCTCTTTCAGCGAACTACATGTGTTCTCAGTGCTAGCGAAGACATACAAAGAAATACGTTACAAACATGCAAACACAGCTATATAGCTCTTGCAAAGCTGCTTTTTAGTTAAATTCCTCATAACCTAGCATATTGAAAGCTCACAGTCATCAAGTTTCATCAGTTCCGTGCTTATTCCCAAGCAGTAAACCAAAAACAATTTTTCAGTTTTTCCATTTGATTGCTAAAAGTTCATGACTACATGGAGACATTTAGGCAAATGAAAATCCCATCATATCTTTCAGGCCACCATTTGAAATATTTCAAATCTTCATTTGAAGACTTAGGTCTTTGAAGAAGGATCACAGACACGACATTACCATAATATGGCAGAGAAGATACTATGAAAGTAATATTAGGAGTGAGTGGAACAGTGAACCAATGAAGGCTGTATAACGAATTAATCAATATTCAGAATGCACAATGTAAATTCTTGTATGTTGTTTCTTTAGTTCTTTACTAGACTCTATGACAATTTTTATTAGTTTTTAGGGAAGCATTTGATATTTATAGCAAATTGTAAAGAAAAACATGTCTGTTCTTCCTCTGTTAGCAACTTGTTTGTGAAATGCAATCAGAGAAATCAAAAAATAAGTTCAGGACAGTAACTTAAAATAACAGAATTTTAACCAGAGCCAAAATGGAGCTAAAAATTACTCTCTAAAATTTGTTTATTATTACTGTGATAAAATGCTCAGAGAGTGTGAACTGTGAAAGTCAAATAACAGAAATGGAGGAATGATGCTAATCCACTGCTGCTTTTGCAGAACTAATTTAGATTAAGTAAAGTTTGTATTTTGATTATAATTTTGAAAAACTTTCAGTATATGAAATCTATGAGGTGAAGATGATTGACTGCTCATGTCACAATGTCCTGAAGATGAGGCCATCGTCTGTAAGAATCACTTGGCAGAGGCACTGAAATAGCAATCACCCACTTTTCTTACTGAAAGTGAAAAGAGACTAGTAAAGAACCCAGAAATTAAACTGATTTCTCCTTTTCTGCCAATTACCGCTTTTACTGGGAAAGCCCTGTATTAAGACTTTATGAAGAAATGAAAAAGGTTCTAAAAATATCATCTTAAAATCTGCAGAGAAGAGACACACAGAGAGAAATACTGGGTAATGATTCATACTAATTTCACACAGTAGCACTCAATATTCAATTTTAATATTGCTTGAAAATCACTATGCTGTAATTAATTTCCTATCATGTTTACTGCCTAAACAGCCAAATAAAACACTTGCAAAGTTATTCTGGTTACCAATAAAATTGTTTGCTACCACCTAGAAATTTTGATTTGTTTATGCACTGATATGCATACATCTTCCATCCCATTTTTTTAAGCTAAGAATTCCTTGCTATTACAGGGACAAAACACTATTTTTACTATTTTTCTATCATGTGTTTAAGCTGAGGAAAAAATTGGATTCGTTTATACCACCAAATATGGCAGTGTTGAAAGGCAGGTTGGATAAGGCCTTGAGCAACCTGGTATAGTGGGAGGTGTCCCTGCCCATGGCAGTAGGGTTGGGACTAGATGATGTTCAAGGTCCCTTCCAATTGTGAATATTCAATGATTCTATGATATATTCTCACAAAAGAGAAGGAATCTACACAGAAACTTTACTTTCTGTTCCATACTAAAAGTTCCCAGAGATGTATTACTGGTCATGAAAACAATAAGCAGACAACATGCAGCTCTCAGAGTTCAGCATCATTAATCCTCCAGATCTGTTATCATAAATTTATTTGGATTACTACCCTTCAATTCATTAAATTTATATGCAAGAAGGATCACAGTGTTCTCTTATACTGGAAATTGTTTTATGGAGTTATTTATTTTATGGAGTTATTTATATCATTGTGAGGGATATAAGGATGCTTTTTAATAAATGATGAATACAGCATATATTTGCATTACTGGGACTTAAAAAAAAAGTACACAAACCAAGTATGATTTATTCACATATTTCTAAAATAACTTTGGAAAATACTGTTCCTGAAATCTCTGCTTAAGAACAATGTGTTTCCATGCTGTAATAAAATATTCAACTAGTAAGGATTACAGCCATTAATGCATATAAACCTCTTAAAACCCTTTCCTAAAAAGGAAATTTCTTCCAAAAGCCTTAAAAATGTCTTTGCTAGAGATTGAATTTTTACATTAAAGCAAAGTCTTTTCGGATGATGTAACATTCCTCCCATTTAGCCCAAACATGCATGTCAAATGAATTTGTCTAGAATGCCAACAATTCCCACATGCTCAGTTCAATTCATTTGCCTTCAGGTTAGAAATCCCTCATAACTATTCTAATAGATTTATGAAGATAAACCACAGACCATTTAGGAGTTTCACAACATTTTTCCAAGATACTATATCACCACAATCTTTCTCTAGGACTAGCATAACCTCTTGGTAAAGTAATCAAAAATATAAATAATTCCACTGCATCCAATCTTTTTTTTTCTCCTTCAAGAGTTTTTTTCTAAATTAGATTTAAGGAAACTATTAATCCAAAATCTAAAGATGTCCTTTAAAGGAAAAAAAAAATCCAACATGTAAGCTGAGGAATAGCAGCGAATAGCCCCCTGTCTCTTTGACCTCACTTGTTATCAGTTCATTACATTTTTATAGCTTGAGTATCATCATAGGTACTGATGTTTTTAATAAAAAACAAGAAAATGTTTGGTTAATTTTAAAGAAAACTACTTTATAATACCAAGTTGGTAGTACATGCCACACACGGAACACATGACACGCACAGCTCATTTTGTGTACAGGAAAAAAGGGTAGAATTAACTGAAATGTTTAGAATTCCTTCAGATATATGTAAATTACTCACATGTTTTAAGTAGATACCACTGAATATAATCAATTCATAGTTATGCCAAAACATTATGCCAGAAGATTTTCATTGTGGATCTTTCAAAGTAAACCACAAAATTTGTTTGGCTTTGTGTTTCCCTGGGGGTTTTTTGTTTGTTTCTGTGTGTGTTTGGGGTTTGTTTGGTTGGTTTTTTGTTGGCTCGGTTTTTTAATTAAAATATTAGAACTGACTCAGGGTATAAGCAGGGTTAGCTGTGTCTCCAACCTAGACATGATGGAACAACTAGCCTTGTGACATACAGTGATGAAATGGGTAAGGAAGCTGCAAGTTTCAGTTCCTTAGTGCTTTCCACTAATAAGTCTATAGAAAAAAACTATATAAAGATTTTTTGCATTTCTACTCAGGCACAACTATAAGTTCTCACACAGAAAAGGTGCATATTTTATATATTTTGATTAGCTAGCAGGATCAGCTAGACCAAAAAATCTCATATCTATACATGTAATTTCAAGTGAAGTTGCAAGTGCAGCAATCTGATATGCCCAACTCCAAAGAATAGGTTCTGAAAACATGATTATAAAGTCTCCATAGTAATTGAATCCTTGTGATTTCTGTTCATCAGAAATCTGATTTCTTTGGTTATTTCCTGTGATAACAACAGTCCTGGAAGACTTCTCCAAACAATGAGAACAAAAAATATTCATCATGACACCAACAGAGACAACTAGACTTAGATTTTGACATGAAACACTAGAATGAAGGATCATGATACCACAACTGCTCAGACACTCATTTAGGGATGATATTGTAACTAGATGTCGTATTTCTCTTCCAAGCAATGCTAGTTCTTAGAATACAAATAAGACCTTCCTGATAAACATCATGCTTTTTCAAAATGCAGTTACTTTTTTACTTGGATATGTAAAAAAACCCCAACAACAAGCCATCCTCATAGCAACCATCCAGACTGTACAAGCAAAACTTACCTGTGAGGTTTATCTGCAGTTTTGTTATGTCTTTAGCCATATTGAAACATTGTTTAGCTTTTTTATACTCATAGTAAAACAAAAATGTATAGGCACACTCAAGATGGAACTGAACTGCTAAGTGCCAGCTTTCACCACTTGTGAACAAAGCTTCTGCTTCTGTCACTGCAAGTTAAGAAAAAGAAGAGATCAGGATGCAGTCCAGAAGAATGATATTTTAAAAATACATTTAAAGTATCATGAGAGAAAGTCTGTTGTTTTTTACATCTTCACACATTTAAAAATCACTGACAGTGTGTAAAAGATATGTATGGTTTAAAGCATTTTTCAAGTTTTATCATCTAAGGATTACTACCAGAATAACGAAAAGTTCGGTCTTTGCTTATATTTTACAGCAAAGCTGAATTGTAAATACCACTTCTGCAGAAAATAAGCAACTATAATTGTATTGGACCTGCTAAAGAACATAAGAACTCAGAATACAAAATACTGAGGTAATACCCACCTCCTTAAGCAGTAGGCTTCAAACGTGAAAGTTTGAACAGGAGACTGAGCATTGAAAGAGGGCTTACGACTCTACACATTTTCTGTTTGGGTGTTTTTGTTTGTGTGTGGAGTTTTTGTTTGTTTGTTTTTAATAATTACTGATTTGCTGAGTGTTAAAGCTCATGTTTTCACTCTGAATGGGAGAAAATACCTTTGTAAACTGATGTGAAGTCTTTAGGAAAGACGACGTTTTTTCATCTGGAATAAAAGCACTTGTATTTCTAGTCTATTTAAGTTCTATCAAAATATAGTAAGTGACAAGGGAATATTTCCATGTAGTACAATATAGACCATTAAGTTGAAAAAAATTCATGTCAATTATTCTTAAATGGAAGTGGGTTTTTTGATTTGTGCTTTATTTCTGTATTTTGTGAAAATATTTAGATAAGAATTCCATAAAAGCTCACAGTATCACAGTACTTAAAAAGACTGGTATCCAATTCTAACATTGATGCTGTGTTACTTAATGGATGCTTAATTTTTCAAACAAGCTTTATTAATGCTAGCAAAATGTCTTACAATATGAAAAAAATAATATTATCAAGGATTTTTTAAACATTTGTTTCTGACTTTTGAATTTAGAGATTGGCAGTCAGCTCTAGACTGAAGAGATTGTATTGTTTAAACCCCGTAGACTTTTTAGTACTTGTTAATCCTCAAAATCTTTCAATTAATATAAAAAGCCATTCAGTCTGAACATAGTTTTTACACAGCTTTTTTAATTCAGCAAATAAGAGTTTGCATGGGTAAATCCTCACTAGTAACAACTTTCTCAAAGACTGGATTTAAAGACTCCATTTAAAGAACACAAATTAGTAATTTAAAGATATTACTCCAATGGTTTTCAACTAAAGCAGGATAAGGAATGCAGCAGGTTACGACTTAATCCTTAGAAAACCCACAAGAGATTACAACTATTTTAAAACAAAGTATGTGCAATTTTATCACTTTTACCACAAAGTCTGTTTCAAACACATTACCTCAATACTGAAGAAGTTAGTCAAAAGTCAGCCTCACATTTAAGCAATGTGAGATTTTAATGCTTTTGTCCATATTTATCATTAAATATATATATTTTTTAAAAAATAATAATGCCCACAGGTCTATAAAATATCCACCTTTCTAACAGATCTTTGGGTTTTGTACAAAAAGAGTGGGAAAAAATTTTAAAAAAAAATCAGTAAATAACTTGGGTTATCTGCCACTTTTACATGCTTTTCACACTCTATGCATACACAATGACACTGATGGTTTCCCAAAGGACAAAAATCCTATTTACATGAGGAAAAAAGAAAAAGGAGTTTTCAATGAGGTATTATTAGAAGCATGTGAAGATGCACTGAGGGTTTTAAACAAATGCAAACAGATTTGCATTGACTCTTCAGCATGGTTTGAGCCATGAAGTCCTGAAGGGCTGTTGTCAGTGCAAGAAAACCTACAAGATAGTGAATGTGCACATGCAGGTACATGTGGAAACATAAAAATGCAACTTTCAAATTGAATTATGTTGATTTTATTTCAAAGGAAAAAATAAGATTATAGTCTATAATCATACAGTACTACTTGATTTTCCATAGTCAACAAGTTCCAGTGATATAAATACAAAATTACTTGTGCTAAAGCCATATACAGTGCTACAGTGAACTCAAGTGATAGACTGGGAAGTAGTCTTACCACTAGTTATTTAAGTACAATTTACTTACAATGCTTGATAAGTTTAGGCAGTTGAGACTTCAAGGACCTTGGGGAAAAGCTTCACATCATGACTAGTATTGATGTAGCAGCACAGAAGCACTGATGTCCCAAACTTAAGACATCCTTCTGGCACGCCATACTGTGTATGGCTCAGGGCCAAATGGATGGGAAACTGCGCTGAGTCCCATTGGGTTTGCATAACAGTTGCTTCAGAACAGCAGGGAATCATTACATTTGTCTTCTCTTCAGGTGATGATATTGACCTCACACTTGGGAAAAATGTATTTTAAATAGAAAAGATAATTTCTCCTAAATTTGAAGGTCTTTTTCTCTAGCAACTCAGACAAAGTTTTCTTGAGAAGCCAATGCAGAACAAGCAAGTGGGTTATTCATGGCCTAATCAAAGACTATTTAGAAGGTTTATTAAGTATTTATTCTATGGAATATGAAGGTACTTGTTTGAAATACCAGATGGTTTCAATTAGAAAATAAACAAACTGTCAGAGGCAGCAGGCAGCAAAAGAAACTCCCTACAGATTTAGGTGTATTTTACAACATTTTCTCTGAAAACCATATCCAAGAATCTCAAAACAGGTCACTTTTAGTAGACATCTTGGTAGTTATCTAGTATTTGTGCACATGCAGCAGCATCCTCTACATGGATCAGGGTTGTGCAAACTACGGTATCTCTACCCAGTATCATTTAGACTGTGAATTTTAATTAATTCTTTGATTACTCCTCTTTCAGTTTTGTTCCAATTATTTAGGTATTTCAAAGAAGAAATAACAGTCACATAAATGTGTTACAGATTTCTCTGTTAGACTTTTCATCCACTTAACAGAACCTGAAAGTGTTTTCACGTGCTCTGCATTCTCCAAAGTTAACACAGTAAAACTGCTCTATCAAACAAGAATTGGGCTACTGGAATAGAACTGCAAAACCACTGGCATCTAAGTATCTTTGATGCAGGACAACTACGGAACACACACTCGGTACAACAAAATATCTAGAAATGAGCAGAAAGTTATTGACACTTTTTAAGCTCTTTAAAAAAATATTATAAACTTATCTCCTTAGCCTTCTTTACCTGAATAAAGTACACCAGCACCAGTTATTCCATAATATAAAATGCATAGAAATTTTTTGGTATTTGGAGTATATCCGTTCTAGAAGTACTATACAACCTAACACATAAATATTTAAGCCTTACCACATTAAAACTAAGCAACAACAATTTGTCTCAAGAAGGTTAGCTTTTACCATCAAACTAAATAAAATAACAAAATTTTAAAGTTACAGGCTAAGAAGACTTTTACTTCAATTGCAACAAAAACCTTCTGTTCCAATCCTTTTAGCATCTAGTCAAAGCATTAGGTCAGTTGTTTCTTCACTGTAGAAGACCCAATAACATCCTCTGCTCAATTTCACTACTCTACTAACATCCTTGTTGCTTATTTGGAAATTCTTCAAGGACCAAAACCCACTTCATATTTCACATATAATTTGCGTGGCCTGAATCTATATATAGTTCAGATCAAAAAAGCTCCATTAAGATGCGGTAAGAGAGGGGAGAGTTAAGACATTAGCCTTCTTTTTCAAAGTAAAACATACATGATAACTCATCTCTAAATGCAATGGCAAACTTCTGAAATGTAACTGGTTGTAAATTTCAGGTTTGCGAATCAAAAGACAAATTTTTATTTAACTACCTGTGAGGGGCAAATGTACATAAAAATTTGCCTCTTTTTTCCATTTTTACCAGTTGCTGTAGCATCCCTCTGGATGGCACCCCTTCTCTCCAGCAAGTCAACCATACCACATAGCTTGGTGTCGTTGGCAAACTTGCTGAGGGTGTCCCTGATCCCACTGTCCCTGTCGCTGACAGAGATGTTAAGCAGCCCCAGTCCCAGTATTGACCTGAGGACTCATGACTGGTCTCCAGTTGGAAATTGAGGCCTTGACCTCAACTCTGAGTGTGACCATCCAGTCAGTTCCTAATCCACCAAGCTGTCCACCCATCAAATCCACATCTCTTCAGTTTAGAGACAAGGCTGTTGTGCACAACAATTCAAATGCTTTGCACAAGTTCAGGCAGGTGATGTCAGTTGTTCTTCCCTCATCCACTACCACTGTAACCCCATCCCAGAAGGCCACCAAACTTGTCAGGCATGATTTGCCCTTAGTGAAGAAGCCACGTTGGCTGTCACCAATCACCTCCTTATTTTCCATTTGTCTTAGTTTAGCTTCCAGGAGGATCTGCTCTGTGATCCTGCCTGGCACAGAGATGAGACTGACCGGTCTGTAGTTCCCTGGACTTCCTTATTTCCTTTTTTAAAACTGAGAGTTATATTACCCTTTTCCAATTAGTGGGAACTTCACCAGACTATCACAACTTCTCAAATATGATAGATAGTGGCTTCTATCCACTTACATCCACACGTCCTGAGAGAACTGGTGGAGAATCTTGTCAGGTCCCATGGACTTGTGTATCTTAACATATATATACACTGCATAATTCAATATATATCAATATACAATCAATATTATATATATGATGCAATTTAGTTTTAATGTTGTCTATTTTCTCTACATATAATTCAGGAAGGTAACAAATCTCAAAACTTAAGTGAGTACAGAGAAAATAGAAAAAAGGAAGTTTATCACCACCGTGAAGATTCAAAAGAACAGTTCCTTTTTAAACTCCAAGAAGCTCAATTAGATAAGAAATGAAACCTGTACAGAATGGCTTTAAGTGACCTTGTGATAAGTTAATAGTGCTAAACACAGAGGAAGAAAACCTTTGTCTACAATCGCATATTCTTATTTTCATCTTAGAGGCTGAAAAATAGTATGTGCCATAAAAGTCCATGTCAATTTAAGTTAATCCTATTCCCTCTCTACTCATTGCAGTTATATGTGTCTGATAAGCATCATGTTGTGAGAGTTAGGCCTACAAATTCCCCTCACTTGTGATAGCTTAAAAGTGATGCTGCAAGCCAACAAACGAACTAATTAGAAATATACCTTGTTTTATACAGGTCTGGGCAAGAGTAAATAGCTCAGGTGATCTCTCCTCTAACAACTGCTGGTGAATATTCACACATCTTAGAGTCCACCAAGATAAGGTCTGAAAGAAAAAACAGATATTTCAAGCTAACAACTAGTACAGATCATAAAAAAAAAAAAGCGGTTTTAAGATACAGATTTTGTAGTCTATTCAAGTCTAGTTTCTAAAAAATATAAACCTGTCCAAAATAGCTTTTTTATATAAAAAGCGAGCACTGACCTAGCATAAAGATGAACTTATGCAGGCAGCTCTACAGTACTCCAAGAGTTTGGTGGGTTTTCCCCTCTGTTAATTTCTCTAACTGCTCTTTGAACCCTGCAAATCTTTAGTACCACCACCTGGTAAGAAACACTGTGAACAGCAGATAAAAGAAATACTTGTGTGCACTTATTTTGGAGCAGCCGCTTGCTACTTTGATTTCATACCTCCTAATTCCTGCAACAGAAGATGACTAAAATAAAACTAAACCCCAAAACCCAGCTGTTTCTCACTTATCTTCTTTTGTGTCACATAGATGCATTTTAATAGACAGCCATGATCTCACTCTTCAGCAATCTTTCTGGCCTGAAGAACCCTAAACTATTTAATTACTGTTTGTAGGTAAATCATTCAGTATTTCTGATTATCCAGTGTTTCCCTTCTGTGTTCTGTTTAACCTTTTTTTATTTCTTCAGGTGGGGGTATAAAGAAGACCAAGAAAGTCAGAATAGGACCAGAATTGCTCATGAGAACACCTTACAATCACAGTCAAAAGTACTAACGTTTTTATGTGGAACTTTAGAAGGGCAAATACCTTACTGAACTAAGTAATCATTCTATAGGAGGCAGAGCTGAATCACAACTCAGGAAATACCTGATTTTAGAAAGCTATGTACACAAAGCATAAGTTCCCCAGAGCCTCTTATCCCTCTCTCTAGTTGCAACAGGTGAAAAAGCATAGAAAAGATAATTTTAATATTCTAGTCTCAAAACTATATTTATGATTACAATCTGTGAAGGTAGAGCACACTTCTACAAAGGCTTTAATGATTACTATTTATTCTGCTACCCATCATGGGTTAGCACACCCATCATTTTCTATGAAATAGATGTTTGATTGCTTTAGAGGCACCTATCTTCTGAACTTTTTATACAGGTATGCTTATATCAGATCAACCAAAGGGCTGTACAGTATTCAAGCACAAACATCTAAACCAGTTACATGTAGCTAACTCTAATGTCTCTAGAAAGGAACAATCAAAAAGAATAATAGCATCTATTTCAGAAAGCAATGAAAGATGACTTTTGATATCAAGCTGGACAGAGTAAAAGCACACAGAGAGACTTTGTGAAAAAGGTCAAATCTCAACATTTCATCACTTATTTAGAAACCTAAAGGCAATTTAAGTTAGAAGATTCAAATTACTTGAGTTTAGCTTTATACAATGAAGTATTAATTTTCCCACAAAAACTGAGTATCCAGCTTAATGATATAATTTCCTGAGACTTTATACTTACCACTCAAAAATGCTAGAATCAGTGAGAATATATTTATAAAGTTTCAGATAAGTCAGCTGACCTCTGTACAATATTCTATCAGCAATGGTTTTTGGTAGCCAAGTTGAGAATTTTCAGATTATTTTTAAGCATTTAATCTTCCATCTACAATAGCATTTTAAAATAACACAGGGCTTTATTAATGTTTTGGATAATATATTTTATCCTGGTTTCAATTTATTATCACTAATATTAAAGAAAAAAAGCATTAACAGGCTACCTTTGAATCAACCTTTGAAATGAGAAAGAATGGCAAGCTTTAATTGCTACAGTGACCTGTTGATGAAAGTAGTTTTTATCAGTTGTTGCCTTTGAACTACTATCCAAACTTGATGTAGCCACAAGTAATTGAACCTCAACTGTATAGAATAAAGCTCCCCATTATGTCATTCTTAGCAGAGGTAGCAAGGGAATTCTCTATACCAGGTACATTTTCTGTTTCCCTGACTGACCCAGTTGCTGAAATTCAACAGCACTCATCTGTGAATAACAGGGAAAACGATGGAAGAACTTGGCTTCCAGAAATGCAGTACAGCCAACATCTCCCACACAGTTTAATTCATCACTCATACAAAGACCCAGCTGGGAATGGATGTTGTCAGTCAAGCATAAAGAGGGACCATGTGGCATTTTGATCTCTAGCCAAATTCTGTTCAACTGGAATTCAATAAATAGAAGTTGTTGCTGTTAAAAGTCCCTCAGTTCCATAGACTCCTGCTACCAATCAGCCTGCTGCTGAACTACAAAGGAGGCAGAGACAAAAGCCCTCTCAGAGGCGCTTCATCATATCTTCTTGTTTTTAATATGCATGCAGAACAGAGATTTAAGGCAGCCTTTGCATGGATGCCTGCAGAAGAGGTAGAGGACAATGACACACAGAAGAGAGGACCTCCTTTTCATATAGAACTCATGACTTACAATTCATAAGGTAATGGTTCACAGTATCCCAAAGCTTGTTAAAAAGGATGGAGTATACGTAAGCTGCGCTATAGGGCATTCGCCTCCTGTCAAATAAGATCGCAAAGTATGTGTCTTAAGAAAGTTGCTTTCTATTAAATTTTCTAATTTTTACGGCTAATGAAGGCACCTTTCTTCTCTTTTGGGGAAGACAGTGACTAAATAGTTTATCATTAAGAAAAAGATACTTGTGATTAATTGCAATCACTTTGTCCAAACTGTTTCTTAGATGAAAAACCTCAGAGCTACAGGTAAAGGAATGGAAGTTATACTGACTCAATGAGGTACGAAGAAAAGAATGAGAGAACTAATTAATGAGGAGCAGGTAGCCATAGTCATTAGTCACATATTTCTTACCTGGAGAGATGCAAGTTTGTGTCTTAAACTCACAAGGATTATCCTGGCTATAAGCAGCAAAATAGGATGAGAAGTCAAGGTATAGATTGATTCACCATCTAGAACTAGCGTCTTCAGAATAGTTGCATGCAGCGCTTTTGGCTGAAAGAAGAGGAAAAAAAATAGGACAAGTTTCAGGAAATTTAAGTTTATAAACAAATAATGTAATATAGAATTAGGAAAAATAACTATTCACATATTTAAGGAAAAAGTCTGCTCAAAACATTTTAAAAAAAACCCATTGTCTCTTGGAGTCTCAATCTTTCACCAAGTCCTGGTGAATTCTGTGTTGTTTCTTGCTGTCCTAGTACACCACATCAACATGATCTGAAAGACACTTACTTCCTCCCACCTGAAATGCATATGTCATTTGGCCAACTATCCCCAAACACATTCCAGTAACATAATCCTTCCCATGATCAAAGGAGAAAAGCTTCCAGTAAATCCATGCCATTCAACTTGCAATCACAGAAATAAAATAATTTTATAATTAAATTAATCCTATAGCACTCGAATACACTAGATATTCCTGCAGTGATGTCAATATGTATTATCATCATCTTTCCCCAGAGGGAGCTTCCTGTTAGAGTGGCATCAGAGCAGCAACACTACAGCAATTCTTCCCTTTGTCCAACAAATAAAAACCTTTCCCTGTTTTGGATGCATTCCTGTATGACGTACTCTACAGTAATTCTTTTACTTAATGGGCTTGAGGTAGCTCTCCAGGGAATCTGTCTCTCAGTGGTGATTGTCATCTGACAGTCACCTATTCTTCTCTCTCTTTTAATGCAATCAAAGCATTAAAGCAGTTTATCTTCAGGCTCAGGGAGATGTCCATTAATCAGTTTATTCCTGGTTCTCATATGGCAGGTTTCCCTGGCAAACTAAAAAAGTAGTGGTTTTGTTTTCAGTTGGTATGAAAGGTGCAGGAAAAGGGAATGGAAGGGAAAGAGCAGGAGAGGTTAAAAGACAACTAGCATTGAAGTCACTGGCCTGAGAAAGATTCTTAATCAGTCCACTCAACCAGGATAAAAGTTAATTGAATCACATTTCAGCTTTTTAAACTAAACAAATAATGTGTTTCTTAAGTTATATGAAACTCTTTTCAATACCTTTATCAACAGGTTACATTGAAGACAAAAGCTGTTAAGCCACATGATTCTCCTAGTTCACTTTTTACTAACAGAGTAATCTTTAAGTTTATCCCGATTTGCTAAATTTTTTCTCAGTTTGTATTAACATTGAAAATACTTCTACTTTGGAGACAATGACTTGGGACTTTATTTAGTCAAAGGGGAACTCTTGCACAACATCACTGCAGTCATTTCAATCCCACTGTGGACAACAAAAATCTACAACAGTCTGACAAACCGGTTGAGAATAAGGGAAAGAAACTGGTAAGCGGAAGTATATCAGATCTGTCCCACCTCTAGTGATTTACAAAGGAACAGCCTTATTAACATCTCTGATTTTGAGAGAGGAAAGTCAGCATTCAGCACTTCTAAAGACTAATTTTTCAAATACACACACACACACACGTAGTAGGACATAAAACACTTTTCAGTTTAATGTAACTTTTTTCCCATCTGCACCTTTTTGATTCTATAATCAAAGCAGACCACACGTAAAATACTCAGTGGGAAAGCAAAGAAGATAAAAACTTTGTTATACAACCATTTTCAAAAACAGCCTTGCAACGCCATAGTTATCTATACTTGTCTAAGCACTGTAGCAACAAATTAATCTCAAATTCACATTTCAAGTCCTTTCACTGCAAAACCCAGTCCTGCTAATGTAACATTACAAAGAATGTAATGAGGGAGAGAGAAGGGAAAGATGATGACATGTCACAGCATTGACAATAAGCCAACATCTCAGAGTCAAAGAACTGCTATCTTCTATTTTAATAAATCCACTTCTTTTCCATGAAACAAATCCCTTACAGAAAAGCAGATATCCTTTACCTTTAGCTGAAAAAGTCTAAACTAACATTCATCCTTCTATCTTATGCTCCGAGACAGCATTATCATTGTGGAATTCACTATCCTGAGGTGGTCTTTAAGATGAGAGAACAGCTACAAGAGGTAGACATTTAAGGTTCTACAGCTCCAAGGACTGAATAGTTAAGAATCCAAGTCCACAAAAATCTCTAAAACATTGGTTAAGAGTAAAACAAAATTTTGAGCTTGTGTTGTTGTGTTTAAACAGATAAATGTTCAGTGAGTTGAAGCTATTGTGTAGCTCAAAAATTTCACATATCTCTACAGCACAAGACTTACTAATATGATATTCCTGACCTCGTAAACCTGGGTTAGATTGTTGAGTTTTTCCATTCTTCATCAAACTTGCCATCAAAACATATAATTATTTTATTCAGGAATAATTTTCTTAGAGCACAGAAACATATACTAGATAATTACTTTATGAATACATGTAGAGAAATCTCTGAGGTGGTCATCTAGTCTCTGTTGGACCTGCAAGTGGTCCTGTTCAACCACTTCTTGACTGAATAATACAAATGAAGCCCAACTCACTCTAGATACATATTCCCTATAAGGGTGACTTTGCTTCATTTTTAAGAGAGTATTTTCCAAGTGATGGTATTAGGAATTTCCCTTCTTTTCTATATTAATAGCAAGGGATAGGATTCATAGTAGGTCAAGACTGTTGGCTACTTTAGCCTCCATATTTAGCCTTTATCATCCAATCTTACATTCCTCACAAGAGGGAGAAATCTGCAAAATCTTCAAAGCCTACATCTTACTGATCCCCAGTATTCAAACAACACAGTATTTCTTTGGGATCAGACAAGAAGGTACAAGAAGTCCATCAGGAGCAGTTGATATATGTATTTGGGGGATTCCTACCAGTTATTTACATGTATTATCAATTAACACATTGAGATCTTGAGATGTAGCTTCTCACTGTTACCAGATATACTGTACTTGTGACTATGAAATCAGACAACAAACAAAGCAGCTTGTCCTCACAACATTCTTACAGTCATCAGTGGTCTTAATTAGTACTACTACTACACAGTTTTGTTCAATTCATCTACTGAAAATACTAAACTCAACTGTATGAGCTAATATGTAGAAGCTCTGAAACTTAAGGCAGGAGACAGTGACAGTTCTTTTAAGACACAAGGAGCCCTTTACTATAAGCCACTTATTATAAGCACTTAGCTCATTAATAATGTTTTAATCTAACCCCAGCAAGGTTAAGGCCAGAAATACTAAACCATTTTAACTGAAATTCAGTACTTTTAAAATCTTCCTTGAACACAATTCACTCATAAAAAGCCTGTCAGCACAGACTACCAGTCAGACTATTAACTAGTGTGGTAAAGTCTCACACTTATTACAGAAAACTGAAATACACCTGATGATTAAAATGCAACTTCTATGCATGGACTCCAAAAATCACAAGCCAGCTCTGCAGGACACAAAGTGGAATTCTAATAGAGCACATGACTGTAATCGTAATTTCAAGAGAAGGTTGAAATGGATTTGAGGAAAGGGAAATAAAATACACACACTCATGAATATTGTTCATGGAAGACATCCAAGAGGTCCCTACCAACAACTCATCTAAGAGAGGCTATTTTATTTGTTCTTCACTGAAATTAATTACAGTCTCATGCTGTCTTACTGTACTCATAAGAAAAAAAGTTATCTGGGAGCAGAAATGAAACTAAGACTAATCCAATAAAGTGTTCTGAAAATAAAAATAACAGTTTTTTGAATATTCCTGAAATAAATGAGGTATTGTAGGGCTAAAATTAGTGACATTACTTAGAGCAAGCTAAAAGAAACACGAAGACCTAATTTTTTAACCTTGACGTGGGAAAAGATCATTTTAGGTTGAAAACCTGAAAAATGGAACATCTGTTTAAAAATGGATTGTATCGGTCTTGATAACAGATATGGAAGCTTACAACAGATGGAGAAAGTTACAGTTCTATTTTTAACCCACATTTTCTAAATATCTGCGCATGCAAGAGAGGAAAGCTGGACTAATGGAAACATAAAAATGTCAGCTTATTGAGATGTTCATTTTTACAGAGTTTATATACTAAGAATCCTTGGAATGAAAAGTAAGTACATGAAGATAAAACATAACTTAAAAGCTTTTGAATTAAGACATTTAATAAAGAAGAGACTCTAAGACATATTGTAGCACATAAGTACTTAGTGCTCTTGGGAAAAAAAAAACACTGAATTGTCAGAAAAAGATAATACAGATAGCAGTATTATAAATAAACTTCTGCCTGAATGCATAAATAACTAAACCTTGAAGCAATATCTAAGTCTGATGCAGTACTCATTAGAAATAAAAGTATGTTCAAGTCTGCTTTCCTCTATAATCTCTAGCCAATTTAGTTTTTGCAATACCACCACTGCATAAGCAAACGTTTTTCAATGCATTGCATTCACAGCCACAGTAGAAGTATAAGAGAAACTAAACAGGAGATCAGGTACTCCCTTATTCAACAGGGAATTAGTATCTCATTCTTCCACTAAGACAGATAATAAATAAAATTGCCTGGAAAAAGGTTTTGACCTAATTGCAGCCTTCCACTACCTGAAGGGAGCCTACAAGAAAGACAGAGAGGGCCTTTTTATAAGGGCATGTAGTGACAGGACAAGGGGGAATGACTTCAAACTGAGAGTAGGTTTAGATTAGGTATTAGCAAGAAATTCTTCACTGTGAGAGTGGCAAAACCGTGGAACAGGTTCCTCAGAGAAAGTGTAGATGCCCCACTCCTGGAAGTGTTCAAGGCCAGGTTGGATGGGGCTTTGAGCAACCTGGTCTAGCGGAAGGTGTCCCTGCCCACGGCAGCAGGGTTGGAACAGGATGATCTTTAACCCCAACCTTCCAACCCAAACCATTCTATGATTCTGCGAAGTGGTTAACAGAAATTAGGAACACTGAGTTTTAGAGGTCTGTGAGCTCTGTCAGCCACAGCAATCCTAAGAGCATAATCTTGGGCTGCAGCCTCTGTGTTAGACTGTAGCACACACACTAACACAGAATATTGAGTTCTTCAGTAAACAGAAACCGCAAATTATAAGAATATCTAAATATTATAATATTAAGTATTATAAACAAATTATAAGGAGAATGCATGAAATTAGGTTTTATTATTATTACTATATATAAAGGCAAATTGAACTCCTTTTCCCCTCAGAGGTAGCACACTACAAAATTTCTGCTCATTTCACACCCTAGAAGGTTTAGTACACTTGGTTTCCACTGTTACTCATTCAGCCATCAGAAGATAAGATTTGAATTTCTAGTATCAAAAATCAAGCGAAAAATAAGCCTACATATACACCGTGTCATCTTTAAAAGACAAACCAAACTGATAAACATAGTTAAAAAAATATGAGCAATGCTGTATCTGAATTAGTTATTTAGAACCCTGCAAATTAACCTAAGGCAGGACTTTATGAATTATGGAAAACACGCTACAATAAGGCAACAGAGCGAACAGCTTTATGTGAAACTTCTCATATACTCAAATGTCCCCTCATTTCGCAGTTCACAGGATTTACATTGCTCATGGTCCTTACTTTATTCATAGTGAAATTCTAAATTCAAACTTGTGTAGATTTAGCATTAGCAGACTACTGATATGGTCTTCTCTGAGACATTGCAGTGATCAGTATTTTACCACAGTCTTAATCCCAAAGGAAAAATCAAGAATCTGTGCTGAACCACAGGTGAGGAGATTCACAAGATGGACTATGGTACTGTCATGAGAAACGACACACACGTCACTAAAAAAAGTGTGTTTATTAGTTACTACACTAAAAAAAAGTGTGGGTGTTTATTAGTTACTACACTAAAAAAAGTGTGGGTGTTTATTAGTTACCTACATGAAATGATGCTAAAATAAATAAAAATGACAGTCCTCAGTTTCATCTCCTACATACTCTTTCTCTTCCAAAAGCTCTATTTGCATTAGCATTTTTGTATTCATACTACTACAATTCACTTGGCATTCAAAAGCCTTACAGGATACTGAACATCCAAATCTACTGCTCTCTTAGTATCTGCCAAATACTCTGCTATTTGCAAGGTATGCAGATTCTACCTTTCCCTAAGGAGGGGAAATTTCTAAGCCATTTATAAACATCTTTCTTTGATTCAGCTAAGAACATATCCCAAAATAAACACATAAAGAGTTCACTGACTGCAAATGCCCTTTGAGTATACGTTCACCTATAATACAGTTAACTTCCCCATCCAAAATCAACATTTACAGTAGGAAATAACTTCAGTAGAGAAAAAAGTAACAACTTTTAGGACACTGCTAATAAAACTGAAGATGCTTAAAATAGCAGCCAGTAGGATAGATTATTAAGGCAATTAATTCTAGCACCTTGTCTTGCAGATGTGCCTTCTCTGACATGTTTAAGGGTTATGGCTATTTGTGAAAAGCAGTGACAATAAAAGGATAGTTTATTAAAATCCAAATATACCTCGCAGAATTTCTGTAACAATGAAGGTGGCAAAAAATCCTGAAGATTTAACTGAACAGGAGGACCAGTCCAATTGCTTTGAACAAAGAGCTGCAAACTGCCCACGCCAAGTAGAAACATCAGCCTCTGCCTGCAATATAGATAAGAACAGTAATTAGCAACATATTGCATTTTTACTTAAGCCTACAAGAGCTGATTAAATCTTATACTAATTCAAAACCCTCAGCCTTAAAAAAAAAATCACTCCCCTGTGAGGCATGTTTATAATGGTTGTAATTAATAACAATGTTTCAACATTTAAGGCTGTACATAAATATCAGAGATCACTAGATTAGCAAAGGATGCAGATAATCCAATATTTGACTATTGCATGGTTGTCATATTTTCTTATTATCCATCTACATCTCAGCATTTTAAGATAAAAGATGCTGCATTATCCAAAAGAGCAAGTTTATTTTTGTTTTTATGCAGCTGCTTATTTTCACTTCGATAAAAAAATTAAATGAACATTGAAACAGTTCAAAACTACCAGCTCCAAGTGGGTTCAGATACTTCTGCAGCAAATACTACCTCATTCAATCATACTTTTTAATTTAAATAACAGTAATTTATTGAAAGATGAAATTACAAGACTTTGTTTCACTTCTGAAACAAGGTATGGTAACATTTTCTTTATTTACACAATTAAGCTCATCTTACATTATTATTTATTTATTTATGCAGTTACATACAGCAACAAATAATCTATAAGGTCTGCAGAAGGCAGGGCACAAGCTCTCAGAATTTAATGGTTGATTTAACAGGTGTAGACTTTATGATTTATATAAACTTCTAGTTTGTTTTATGATACAATAAGGTTCTAAGGCATTAAGGCATTTTAAGTTCATGTGCTGATATGGGCACTATCATATATAGAACATGCCTCCTAACTACAAAAAATTAGGACTTTAATTGTGCTGGTTTGATATAAACACCAGTATGTTAAGGAGCATAAATGAATCAGAAAAACATGGTCCTTTTTTTTTTCTGTTAAACAGGAAATTAAAGATTCTAGAGTCCTCCAATTGAAACAAAGGATAAAGTGTTATACAACCCCTTAAAAACCAAAGTAAAATAGAAAAGCCACACACAAACAAGCAGCTGGTGGGCAAGAATGTAACAAAAGATGTAGAACAATAAGAAAGCAGGGGTGGGGAACATTTAATTGCAAATGAAATAATAAAAAAGAACATACCCTTCAAAGAAGTTAAAGAACAAGAACTGGCATAAAGAGTCATTGTCCAACAAGACAAGGTAACATTTACTAGCTGTCATTATTCAGCCAGTAACTACCTACTAGGAAATACTATTGGAATACATATCCAAGATTACCATTAAACTTCCAAATAACTCAAGAACACAACGCACTAACAATCATTGTACACTAAATTATTACCATTCCATACAAAATATCCACACTGGCATATATTTTCTACTTTTCCTCCCATGATAAATTATACTCCAAAGTTTCTGAAAGGTAACATACAAAATAATCAGCTATCTCTGCACTATGATTTGACACATGTACTTTGGTCTTTCAAAGACTTGTTTTCATTATTTTATAATTTTTACTATTTCCACTAATAACATTTTATTTAATTATTTTAACACTACTGATACCTATCTGGAAAGCAAACTTTCTTGAGGTCTTGGCACAGTTTTATCCATGCAGAACACCTCTGGATAACCAAATCCATTACTTTGGCTGGAATACTGTTTTTCCAGTTTAATTTATCATCAAGTTTTTTTTCCCTCCCATTTTCAGATTCATGACCAACTTCCAGTCTCCTTATCACGTGCTCTGTATGGGAAAATCAATTTCAAACCCCAACCCCTGCAAATGCTAACCTCCCATGCCTATGCCCTAGTTTTTTTCCAAGGGAAAAAATCATTCCGTCTTCCTGACTGCCCTTCACACTTACAACGCAGACCTGCAGATGCTCACCTCTCAAAGGCTGCCTGACAACTGCTCTTCTGTGCTGCCTGAAAGGCAACAGAGGGTCTGTTGCTCATGTCTCCCTTAGTATGGTGATCTACATAGTTGAATTTATTTTGTACTTAGACATATGTCTGTATCTACATATCTTGTTCTTCCTTTCTCTATGTGAATGGGGGGTTTGCTGCCTTTTTTTAACAGTTTACACCACATCCAGTACAACTGTTCTCCATGATGCAAAATCAGATGCTTATATACACTCCACTCTAACATTCATATTGCTGTATCAAATCTTCCTGAAATTCAAAATAAAGAATAATAGTGCATTTGTGTGTGAAAAAATAATGGATTTGCACATAATGCTAGAAGCTACAAATAAAATAAGAGTAAGAAAATATTCAGTAGCCCCGCTATGCTTAAGATGTGATTAGGTTACAGGTTTTGGTTTGGAGAGCTTTACTTTTCTTTTTAGTGCAGCCAGAAATTAATAGAAGAGAAGTCAAAGTAAACTTAAACAATGAATTGTTATTTTTTCAATTCATGTACATCAAAGCAAGAATCAGCTGCAGAATCAGCAAAAATTTCTTCATTTTTATTTTTCATGACATAGCACACCAGTTACCCAACCATCAGATGTGCCAAGAAAAATACCAGCAATACCATTCAGTGTTCAGGTTGGGAAATCATAACAAACTTTATTGTATGGATTTCTTTTGCAAAGTTTGGTATTCATTTATATGTTGAACAAGGTATAACGATACACAGGCAAAAAAACAGTGTTAGTGTTCCTTTAGGTTTTGGAACCAAACACAAGAGACGTTCAACTTGTTTTGCAACAAGTTCTCTGAAAACAATCTATTTCTTCATTGTGTCCTCACACTATTTCCTTCCAATCTTTAGAAACTGTAGGCCAGGCAACGAATGTACCTCCTTCACATGGAGGTCAGGAAAAAAAAAAAAGGCATTCCTCCTCTCCATGGACAATACAGATCTTATTGCTCCATCCTCTACAATTTCCTGATTTAAAATACAGCTGTGAAACTACATTTTCTGTAGGAGATAACTGTTAACCATTGAAGTGAGTAGCAATAGCAGGGAAAAAGTAAAAGAAAAAATCTCCTATTCAATATATTTATTGTAAGGAATGCTTCATTTTTAAGCTGTAAAGGTTAAAAGTGCCATAGTGAAAACGTGTCTGGGGTAGGGGAAGGAGGCAAGCAGTTAAAACAATAGAAAAAAGTTGCAGCAAATTTTCAAACACTGCTAAATCGTTTTCCTGACAGAACCATGGATTTGAAACTGGAAAAAGTTACAGGCTATAGTCAAAGAAATTACAATCTAGATCCAAATGTTGAGTTGTTTTGCCCTCAAGCTGTTCAGTTTTAGCTTCAGAAAAAGAACTCCCTAAGAGTTCTTTTAACAATATTATAAAACCATACTTTGTATTGTGTTTATATTGTGCTAAAAGAATAATATTAACATACTCCAACTTTTTGTTTCTGATTGAATACAACTCCCATTGAGTTTTTAAATCTCCAGAATTATAACTTTCAATTTAGGGGAGAAAATAATATATTTTAATTTATCCCATCTACAAAAAGTCTCAAGAAAACCATGTCTTACTGAATTTTCTGGGCTAGAACTTAAGAGGTTTGCTGCACTCCTTTGAATCACTCAGTGGAAAAAGAACATGACATTTTACGCATTAAAAAAATAGACAAAAAAGTTTCAACATAGGCTATGCAAGGCCAGGGTGCAAAAGTCACATTTACTCCTTCCATAAGGCAGGACATCGGGCCTGCAGGTAGGAAAAACAGCTGTGCAACAGCTATTTTAACCCATAAAGTCATCAGAGACAAACACAGTCCAGATTTAAATGCTATAAGCAGTGCCTACCTAAAATAGTAAATTATCTGTCTTTCAGATAAATAACTTCAGTAGAAGTTTTTCTATCAAGAGAAAGTTACAACTTACTTCTGCACCCAAAGCTTCTTAAATTATTATTAATGGAGCTTGAAAAATTCACTTGACTGTTACAAACAAAAATGTTTCTGGCAGATGCTGATACATTTTGAAAACTACACGCTTTCATTCTGAATAAAACTTCAGGCTGTAATTTCGGGCAGAAAACCCTCTGCTTCTGAGAAGCTAAATATTGCAGATCTGTCTCCATATCTTCTGGCAAGGGGGTTTCTAATGCTGCCTAGAATTGCAGAAGAAACTAGAAAAACCTCAAAGACCGAAGAGCTGAAGCAGAAGCACGCAAGGAAAAAATTCCTTTGCTCTCTGCAATAGGAATGCACTATGACAGAATACATAAAAAGTTTCATGATCTAGATTATGATTACCTTCAAGAAGCTAAATGGCTCATAAAGGCAGCAACACATTTCAAGCAATGATCTGGAGCAGGATTGGGTGTGTTTCAAGTCCTGACAGATTTTTCTTTCCTTGTCATATTATTCAGAATAAACTATTGCAAAATGATAGATTCTAGCAATATTGAAAAATTTCTCCAGCTAATATTTAACAGTAACAGCACAACAAAGTAATTAAAAAAAAATTAAAAAGAAAAGAAAAACGCCTACAGAAAAAACACATGGGAAAAACCTCTGAATGTTCCAACTCAGAAAACAGGCACACATTATATTATGTACCACACTAGAAGATGGGCTTTTGACACACTAAGATCACTTACAAATCTCAGCTCAATATTGTAGATGTGTCATCTATTTGTTTTTCTTTGATACTCTAGCAAAAATTCTTGCGTTTATGTCTGTCATACCAAAACACACATATTTGTACTCAACCAACACTTACTGACAAAACAGTACTTTCCTCTTACATTTACTTTTTTAACTTTTATCTTCTTTTATGTTTTGTTCTTCTTCTGGCAAATTTCTTTTTCACTTTCATCTTTTAAAATAAATACATACACCCATGGATAGTTTTCTGCTTCTACTATCCCTCGCATAACAGATTTCAGCCTAATCATTATTCATACAGCAAAGTGTAAACAGTAAATTCAGACTCATTAAAATTAGCATATGCAACACAATTAATAGATAATCTATCAGAGAAAGTCTTGGGAAGAATATAATTAATTGAAGAACAGCATCCACAACTCACATGTTACTCATTTTACATTAAGAAGAGTAGAACAACCTTACTATAAATCAGACTTAGAAATACAGGTCTTGCTTGGACAGTAACATTATATGGTACTTGAAGTAGTCACATAAATGTAATGCAACATTTCAGAGAGCAAACTGTTAATAAATGGTTTGATGATATATGGCAATATGAATTCACATTTGTGGTTTTGTTATATAGGCAGCTTCTGATATAATCACTGTAAATAAAGCTAATATTTTTTAAAAAAAAACATATCACAATATCATTGTTTTTTTCACTGGATAGTCATGAATAGATGCCCAAGGGAGTGGGGGAAACAACCTAAGAAATTTGTTTTCTGCTTTCCTTTCAGTACACGAATTTTGAAGGCCCTACATCACAAATTATAATTTTTTTTAAAATGCCCTTTGTAAAAATCAAACATGGCCTCTATTAACCTTCCATATAATAAATAATAATTTCCACCTTTCCACATTATCAGTCTCCGCAGAACAGTCCAGGTATGCTAGAATCTGTTTCTCCAAAAAAGTGTCAATGTTCTCCTCCGTCACAGAAGACACATTGAAAACACTGTAGATGGTTGAATTTGAAAAGATTGCCTCATATTTCCCATCAAACATCAACTGCAATAATGATCCACTTTCTGGAAGAGAAAAAAAAAAAACAAACCACAGAAATCAGTATCAGCTTTGAAACAATTTTGTCTTTCAAGACCTATTCAAATGAAAATATATATACCACTCCCCTTTAACAGTAAAATCCTATAGGTAAGACAATAATTTCACAGACTGGAGAACCCATTGAGGGGAAATGCAACAAATAAAAATGGTTCAATATTTGCAGAGTCCAGTGAATAAACTCTTATGTAAAACTGTAGAAACTACTCAGCCTTTCATTTACATGCTTAGAATAATCACAAAGAATGGGCAATAGATTTTACTTTTATAAAGGAATTATTTTCCTGTGATAACTATACTATCTCAATGAGAAGCCTCCATATGAAGCAGATTCTCAGGAGTAACTACTAATGTGGATTTAGATCCATGAATATTTCTTAAGCCTTTCAAGACAAAAGACAAAGAGAAGTCATGAAATGCTACATGCTTAACTTCTAAGAAGCTTCAGACTCATCAAGTTCTTGACCCAGGTTACAACTTTGTTCACAGAAGGTATCTTCCCTTCTTTCTTCAGATGTGCTACTGTGCAATCAATCCAGCAGCTGTTAGAAGAATTTAACCATGTTAAAACCTTCTATTCTTGAGCAAAACCAGTATCTGCCTATGCTGCAGCTGTGGCTACAACTCATGGAGACGATGCAGATGGTGCAGCTGAGGAAATACAGAGGTCTGCATGGCCTAAGTGCCAGAATATTAATCTGTGCTTCCAACTGGGGACTGCAGCTCCCATGCCCTCAGTGTTACTGTTGCTCCACTAATATTAGTAGCTGAGGCAGCCAATTTAACACTAGCCAGGTACAGATCCACACAAGCTGCACCTGTGCAAAGAAGTGATCCGAATACCAACTCCAAGCTCATCCAGCAAAAACAACTATTCTAAATTTTAGAAATACAGGAAGACCAAACACAGAACCACCTTCAATAATAGCGATGGATGACTCTGTAGAATGGGTGAGATTCATTCATTCTAATATCTCTGGACCACTCTGTTGACCACAATTTACTTTTGTTCTCTGCCACAATGATCTACTAAATGATCTACATCATTTGTGGCAGCTTATTTAAAAACCACTTTGAGCTGTACCTGGAAGGACATACACAAAGGAACAGCAGTGGTTCCACAATGCTGTTAACATCATGCTCTCACAAAGAATAGAAATAACAAGAAACTTTCTTCAATCTACATGTTGGAGACACTTACTTTCACCAAATGACAACTTCTTTATATTGGATTATAGTTGCCCTGACAAAAGATGCTGCAGTTTGTAAAATAAACTGTGGGCTGTGGGACACTAATGAAGAATATCGAGGCCAGTAACATAACCGTAAGCACATAAAATTTGCTTTTGATTCTGTGTATAGCTTCTTGTAAGACACTACACAAATTCAAGGTGACAGCTTTTAAATTTATTTTCAGGACCATTAATAGGAAGGGCCCATGTAAGTGATGACTAAGAATCATCACAAATCCCACCATTTTCTATCTCTACAGCAAGACAACTTTCTTCAACAAGTCTTCCCCACATCTTATAGCAGCACACTAGTTAAAGTTCCCCAAAACAAACAAAAGCTAAATAAAAACCAACCACCAAACAATAAAAAAGCAATCAAAAAAGCTCCCCACCACAAACAGCATGCACAGCTCTTGGTGAAAGGATAAGACAGACCTGATAGATGTCAGTCACATCAGTTACCGTTCCTGGGACAGTACAAATTATTAAGGTCAAATAAAATGTAATATAAAGAAACAGAGTTGATTAGCTCTGCACAGTCCTTTTCCAAAATTCAGTAAGTGCTTAGGTAAGGATAAATGAGTCTTTCAATATGCTACAAGCTCTAAGCATTCTAAACAACATGGCACATGACTTGAACACAGCTGTATTTTTAGCCTGCCTGAAATATAGAAGCGCCTTTTCATGACAAATGTTACATTTTAAAAGCTGCTGCGTTCCCCTGCAGGAAAGCTGGGTCAGTAATAACCCAATCAAGTCCTCTCAAGAGACTTATTTTCCACCGATCCCTCAAGCAACTATGACCGAATAAGTGATAAATACAGAACGGGCAGCTCATGCCAGACTTTTCAGTCCCAGGTTTTGCTCCAGGAGCAAGCTTCACCTCACTGCCACGTTTAAATAGGCAGGTAGTCTCTCACTTGCGAGGTAGTCTAAGGCAGTCCCGTGATGAGGAGCCTCCAGGGCGCCGACACGAAGTGGCCGGCACCGGGCACCGGCACTGCTGCAGCCGCAGCCCCGCCACCAGCCGGACCGGCAGGGAGAGGCCGGGGAACTTCGCGGAGCCTCCGCTCCTCTGGCCTCGCTCCCGCCGGCAGTGCCGCTCCCGTTCCTCCAGCATGAAAAGCCCACGGCCTCCCGCGCCCTGCGGCGCCGGCAAAAGCCCTCGGGAGCCCGGCGAGGAGTGGAAAGGGTGCCAGGGGGGTACAAGTTCGCGGGGGAGAGAGCCACTAGCTGCCGCCCAAGCTCAGCTCGTGTCTCCGGACACCCACAATGAACGGACACCTTCCCCCACCTCCCTTACCTGAGGCCGCGACTTCGCCCTGCTTCCACTCCAGGGATTCCGCCGCGCTGAGAAAGCCCCTCAGCAGGGCACGCTCTAGGGCCAGCATGGTACCACCGCCCCGGACCTGCCCACTCCCCACCGCCTCGCTCGCTGTCGCGACCCCCGCGCCGACAGAGACACAGGAGCTGCCGGTGCGTCCCCTCAGCCCATGTGCAGGAAGCGGCCGCAGGGAGCCGCCATGACACCCGCGCGGGGCACGCCGGGAGCCGCGGTGGGCCCGGGCCCCGCCCCCGCCGGGAGCCGCTGTAGGTGGCGGCGTGAGGGGAGAGAGAGGGGCGGGCGGGGCCGGGGCTGGGCACGGCCGGGAGGTGTCATGTGCCGCGCAGGGGCTGGAGCTGACCCCAGGCAATAACTAGTTTGTGAGATAGCGAGGGTAGGCACACACACCTGTGCCGTTGCATATGGAGTCTGCCCGGGAGAATTCCAGAATAGGAAAGGTTGGAAGGGACCACAGTGGGTCATCTGGTCCAACCTCCCTGCTCAAGCAGGGTCATCCTGGGGCACGTTGCACTGGATTGCGTACAGGTGGTTCTCCAGTGTAGGAGACTCCACGACCTCTCTGGGCAATCTGTTCCAGGGCTCGGTCACTGCACAGTACACAAGTTCCTCCCTGTGTTCAGGTGGAACTTCCTGGGCATCAGTTTCTGCCCATTGCCCCCTGTCCTGTTGCTCAGAACCACTGAGAAGAGCCTGGATCCATCCACTTGGCACCCCAGCTTTAGATATTCCTACATCCTCTGTGTGAATCCTCTCCGGGATCCTGGGCAGGTGCGGGCTGAGGTTCCCAGCCCTTGGTCTGTCCCCGTGTTTGTTTCATTACCTGTCCTAACACCTATAGGAACACAGTCCTGCCTCAGTGTTTCTGGACGTTTATCATGTGCATGTACCGCAGAAGAGGAGGACAAAGACCAGTGCTGTCCTGCTCATTCAAAATTGAATGAAACAGTTGGAACAATGAAAATGTTCTCTCAGAGCTGCTGATAAAACTTGAAGGGAATCAAGTCAGAAACCAGAAGGCCATCACAGCAGGGAGCAAATTGCTGATATGAGAAGATGAATGTTTTGAAAATTACTGTAGAGGTTGTAATTCACTTTGCCATTAAGTGCAGTGTGTAGTATCGTGAAACAATTTGTCAATCTTAGTTTGTTTTTCTTCAAAAATAGGATGTCTCTTCATCATGCTTCCATATCTAACATACTTTCTTAATGGAAAGGGTTGTCAAGCGCTGGAACAGGCTTCCCAGAGAAGTAGTGGATCACCATCCCTGGAGGTGTTTAAAAGATGTGTAGATGTGGCACTGAGGGATGTGGTTTAGTGGTGGGCATGACGGTGCTGGGTGAATGTTTGGATTTGATGATCTTGTAGGTCTTTTTGAACTGAAATGATTCAATGATTCTATAATTGTTAATATTTGAGGAATACTTGATGCAGCTTTTTATTCAGACGACTGTAATAGGTTATTTCTGACATGGGCTTTAATAGAATTACAGAGCCATAGAATGGCCTGGGCTGGAAGGAACCTTAAAGATCATCTACTTCCAACCCCCCTGCCATGGGCATCTCCCACTAGACCAGATTGCTCAAAGCCCCATCCAACCTTGCCTTAAGCACTTCCACAGATGGGCCATTCACAACTTCTCTGGGCAACCTCTTCCAGTGCCTAGGCTGTATATACAGGCTGTAATTTCAAATTTAAATTTAATCAGATTTATAATACCAAAATGCATTTAAATAAAAATATTGCTTTTCAACTTATTTCCAACCTGAAACAATACATTCTATTTGTATGAGTTTGGATAAGCAGATTAATAGAAATTAATAGAAATTTATATAGTTAGTAGATAGCCATCAACTCACTGTCAGTTCCAGGAACTGCAAACCAAAATAAAATTCATCCTGGAAGTAATGTGTTACAGAAATTCTTAAATCATAGCAAATAATTCAGTTTCCATGTACTGTATTAGGAAAACTATTAAATTGATTATGTTTATTTTTTAAATTCAGTGTTGAAAATGTCTGAAATCAAAATGATTTTAGTTGGTTACTCTCTTTGTGTGTAGCAGTTGAACTTTGATTCTGTATGAAAAATATAATAGTTAGAAATTAGTCTAATTTTTAGTGTTTAAATGTAAGTTAGTAACAAATTTCTTTACCTTGCAAATAGGTCTGCATCAAATGTACAAATGTACATTCAATGGATAAATTTTTAAGTGAAGTCTAACTAAAATGTAAAATAACACTCCTTTTTGGCAGGGTATTCAGAGTATTTGTCAAAACACAACTAAGAATTTAGTGAATAATTGAAAAGTACATTTGCATGGTCTGTCAATAATATTAAAATAACAATTCTTCTTGTGAGATTTTGTGCTTTTTATTTTCGGGAAAAACAGGTAAAGTAAAATTTTCTGTGAATAAATAGTTGCTAAATAAAATTCCTTTAAAAAACAAGGATTATTCTGCTGTCTTTCTCACCTCTGCCAGTTCTCCTGATGTGTGGGGTTTTACCCTTACAATTCAGTTCTGGAAGCATCTAGAAGCTGTAGCAGGTATGTGGGCAGGAGTACCCCCAGCAGATATTGGTGCCCTCCTGACTGACACTGGACTGATTGTTCCGCTGATGTAAGAGATGGTTTGGGTTGCTTGTCAGTTGCCATTTGTGACAGATATACTGAAATATGCTGCTAAAGCTTGCTTCCCTAAATTATTTGAAGAATATAGACATATTTCTCAAAGAACAGTCAATAGGATTTGTTTGAATTTAAGGGTTGCTTCTGCCAGCTGGCTCAAAGGGAAGCAAGCCTTTGCAGTAAGTACTATGTAGTGCAGATTCAAGATTCTAGCATAGTGCTTCTTCTTATTTCTAAGCAGGCAGTAGATAATCAAACTTTCTGATACAAGAGTTTTCAGAGAATAACCTTCATCTTTAACTTTTTTCCAAGAGTGTAAGAAAATTATCCCTATGAAGTGTTGTGCTACTGTGATATCTGAACTAGCACGTTTAATGTCACCTTGCAAGATATCTGTGCTGTTGTGTGGATGCAGTATTTATCTTCTGTTGCAGGGGTTTTTTTTCTAATGCCTTTTGAAACAGATATCTCCTTGTGGACTAACAAAAAAAAATGCTAAGCAAAAAAAAAAAAGATTTCTTAAGCTTCAAGTAGTTAATATTAGCATAGACACTTATTATTACACTTTTAACAATAAGCTGATATTTGTAAAAGCTGCTGTTACATGATTTTTAAATTCATCCTCAATTCTGCGTGCCAGGTCTCTGGTACTGCTGAGGAAAGAAGCCATTTTTGAGCAGTAGCTTTTTTATTTGAGGAGTGGGGAAAGGGGAGAAATTGTTGAGGAGAAAACTGACTCTGGTGTAGCAGAATGAAAACTTGCGAGATCGTGCAACCAAACTTCTGCAATTGTAAAGAGCATATTTGATGACCTGGTGAGAGGAGGGGAGATACAAGGCTCGTATTGGGGAGTTCTATCAGTTTTTCTTGCTTTGGCTCTGTTAGTTCAGTCAACCTCTATCCCAGTAACCGGTTTGTCTTTGTGAATCATCATATTTAAGGTTATATCACCTGGAGTTACAATACCAGAAACATATTTCAAGCTCGTTGGAAGCTTAATGGCCCCCAAAAGTCACCAGCTACATGTTCAAACTATATTCTTCAGTTGTGCTGAGTCAATGCACAGGCCTTCACCACAAGGAGAGTCGTGATCCCTCAGGAAACTTTCAGCATTTGAACAGCTTTTGCAGGTACATTTGCATTTTAAGAATAAATGTAGGCTTACAGTCTTGAGATACAAAGGCAAAAGAATGACAATTATTGTACAGCTGTTGTGACCTCCCAGCAGTTTATCTCAGTCACAGGAATGGGTGTGATGCTTGACATGTATTATAGTGGCTTCACTGCACTCACCAACTAGCATTGCATCCATTGAGTCTCTCTGACCAGTTCACCAAATTATGCCCTTGCTTTCCCAAACCCTGAATAACACAATCACTGCTCAGTCAGTGCAGGTAGAAAAGCTCCACTTCTAATGTGCTAAAACAACAGTGGTTAGGAAAATCTCTTACTAACATCTTCATAAAGCAATAACGGGGACAGTTAGTGTAGGCCACTGCACAACAAGAAAAGGAAGAGCGATTCCATGAACATATGTTTGTTGATCATTTTAGAAATGTTTCTCTGTTTCTTCTTCTTTCTTCTTTTTGTCACAACAGAACAAACCTCATCTGAACTTCTATAAACTAATTTTTACTTGGTTAGTGAGCAGAAATTTGCTCTGCATCAACTACGTAACATCTGTGAATTTTCAGAGGAAGAAACCAAAGCTTATGTGAAAATAATTTAATTTACTGTTCAACAAAAGAATCCAGAAATTACTCTTTCATTAAATAAGTATGTCATATCATGCCCAAGTTTGCATAGGATTTAATGCCTTCTCATAAGAGTTCCTACAGAATGATTAACTTATGATGCCTAAGTTTTTCTAGACAGTCTTTGCTAGCTTCAAAAGGAGAAAAGGATTTAAAATGAAATAAAAAAACCTAAATGGCTTTCATTAATTGCGTTCCCTTTGTTACTGTGGAGAAATCAAGCCAAACAAAATTGGTCACACTACATTGAACAGATTTTTTTGCTGAAAAAGATAGAATCTTTTATTAAAGCTACATGGTAACTTTAATCTCTGTAGTGCACCCACAAACATGATTATATTTTTGAACATAGAGTGTGCATGGTCACCTGTAAACAGAAATATGTTTTTGAGATTTCCTCACATTTTAATAAAAGAATGGACAGTTCTGGTTCTTGGTATGCATGTGTGTCACAGCCAGTTCATGGTGGCTACCATGCTTCTACTGGGTCAACACTGTGAGACTGTGTTGGCATGAGACTGGCAGATTAATCAGAAACACTGATTATGGGCAGGCAGTAAACAATGGAGGGCTGATGAGATTCTCCTTTGGAGATCCTAGCTGAATTCCTCGTATATTGTCTTTTACTAGGGAACAGTGAAGCTCTTGGGTAGTCAATTCCAGTTGTGCTTGAAAATCTCTTACAGTGGTGCTTTTTATGTTGGGCCTCCAAAATTTGAGGTATCTCTGTGACTTTTGACCTCTGTAAGATTTTTTACCTCAGTAAGAGGTCAAATAGAATAAGGACCATTGGTGATCCCG